CGTCAAAAATTTTAGACAGATTTAAATCCGTGGGAAATTTCGTCGGTTTCCCACGGATTTAAATCCGTCGGAAATTCCGTCAGAAATTTCCCACGGATTTAAATCCGTGGGAAATTTGACTTTTTCTTGTAGTGTATATTCTCTCAAAGCACCTATGTGGCTTGCTCCAAGCAAGTTTGTACATGCTTCTCGTGATATTCTTTGTTCTGACTCCCTTTGAACGCTTCTTTAAGCTTTGAGCAAATTTTGCTCGATCAAAGCATTCAAGTAACTCTTTTTGAACAAGCTGGTGTGATCCTTTATAATGTATTTGGATGAAAAATTTAAATGGAGTAATTCATTTATTTGAAGAATTTCAAATTCTTTGAGGTAAAATATCTTGTTTGGATGGAGAATTTATAAGAAATTTGAAATTCAAGCATTTGTGAAATTTATTGAAATAGTAAAATTTCAAATTCCCCCAAAAAAGTAAGAATTTGAAATTTCTCATATTTTTTTTCTTCTTATTTCACTTATATATTTTACATTATCTCTTATCTCTTCATGTTTTTAATTATTGAATATTCAAAAATATTTTAAAATTATTAAATATTATATAATATTAATTTTTAAAATTATTAAACATTTAAAATTAGCTAATATTTATTTTTATAAAATTTAATTTAAAAATTCTCAACATATAAATATATTTTTAAAATTAATTTTACCATGGTGAAATCAAATTATCATATCCAACCTAATAATTTAAAATTTGATAAATTTGTATTGACTTATTTAAACAAAATACTTTAAGAATGGTAGAAATTGAAATTAAAGTAATTCAAATACCAAGAATTTAAAATTTCTTGAATTTGTAAAATTTCTCATCCAAATAAACCATTAAAGATTTCACTCGCTCAAAGTGATTCTTCAATAATACTTGAAACATTAGTTTCTTCTTTTATAGCTTCCAAATTGTTTTTTCCTTGTGTTATAATTCAACAAAATAAACATTAAAATTACTTAATATTTAAACACTTATAAAAATGTGATTCGACGAAACAAAACTTACATTTATTAATAACACTCCTTAAAATAAAAAATTTACACGAATCATTGACGCAGCCGCAGTCAACGTCCAGACGAGACCGAAATGTTCAAGAGTAAAAGAGAAAATGAAAGTCAATGAAAGTGCATTCTAAAAATTTAAGAAGGGTTTAGTTCACCTATCGAGTACTATATTTTTTTTAAAAAAAAAATAATAGGTTTAGATCATGACAGATATAATTTTATATAAAGTTAGAATTAATTATTATTTTTTAAAATTTTTCGATGACATTATAAATTGGATATCCTATTATCAATGTAAGTCCATACAGAAAATATGATTGATTCTGAGTTTTTTTTATACTCTGGACAAATTGAAAAACTGATGTCTTAAAGTTTATATTATTTATATTCATATCATTTTGAAAAGAAATCATAATGTATTAGACAAGTATAGACAAAAACATATATATATAAATTAGAATGCATGTATGAATCAAATATAAAGTTTTTAATGAGAAAATGAAACAATAATATTTAATTATTTTTTTAATAAAAAAATGTTTTGAATTTTCAATTTATTGTAACAAAAAAGAACAAAGATGATAATTCGTCATGGAAAAGTTTACAATGACTAATAAATAGAGATTTACATATTGATTGAAATTCTAGTAATGACATAAAATACCATTTTTAAGAAAATAAAGAGAAAATCAAAGAAATTAGAGATAAGAAAAATAATTTAAAATAATCCTTATTTATTAATAATGAGATATATTCAAATGAAGAGAAATAAAAATAAATAAATCAATAATACATAACATTTTAAAAGAATATAATACTTAATTTATCTATCAATTAATAAAAATAAACGTGCAATATACGCCGACTTATTATTATTTTTTTTTTTTTGAAAAGGATTTAACCAGCAGCTAATCATAGTTAAAACTTGTTAGAGTACTCCTTATAAAATAAAAAATAAAAAAAGTAGAGAGAGTACATACTTAACAAATTAAATGTGTGTAGTGGGTCACTAGCACAAGGTTAAATAGTAAATATATAACCGGTTTTGGACCTCTCTCTATATATATATTAAAAAAAATTTATTTTTAATTTAAATTGCTAGGTAATTAATAAATTTTATTGTATAATTTTGTAATTGAAATATCACACTTTCTTTATTATATTTAAGATCACTGATTTATTTTTCTAAAATTATAAGTATTTTTTTTAAATCATGGATAAATTTTTGTTAAAAAATAAAAATATCATTTATTAATTGATTAATAGATGATGATTAGCTTTTTTTAATTATTTTTTTATATAATTTAATTATATAATTTCTTTTTTAATATTTACATAAACTAAAATTTTTTGGTGCTTCTATAAAAATGGGACCTTGAACAGTCGTCTACCATGATTATGTTTAGGATTCTCACTCATAGGAGGATATAAAATATAAGAGAAATTCAATTCAATCCCATAATTAGTAGGAGCAAAGGGCTTAATTCACTAATCGAGTAATATGAGTGATTTGGTGTAATTCTTGATAGAGGAAGACTCAAGTGAAAATAGTTGTTATTATAAAAATAACTAATAATAACCTTTAAATTAAAGTAAATGGTTTAGATTGAAATATTATAAATAAAATTATCATGTGCTGTTGTTATTATAATTCTTTTTATCATTTGTAATTTTTTTAATTTAAACCGTTTATTTTAATCAAATGATTGATATTAGTTATTCTTATATTTTCATATTAGCTTGTGTTCACTTGAATTGCCTCTATTTTTTATGATAAGCTGGAGCCAGAGAATGAGTTGAATACAACCAACATGGAATGTGTATAGTTTTTAAATTATGTTTAATTATTTTTTAATCTCTTTTTAGTTGTAGGAACTTTACTTTTTAATACTTATAGATTTCATTTTAATCTTTATACACAATATTTTTTTTTCTCTTAATGTTTATTATTTATTATTATACAGGTTGAAAGGTAAAATTTATTAACTTATTTGAAACAGAACAGGAAAATATGTAAATACATGAAATAATTTTAATTATAAAGATTTTAAATTAATTTTTGTTCTCCATTATTTCGTGAATATGCAACTTTGGTCTTTTTAATACTTTTATTTTTTCCCATAAATTTTGTTTTCCTAATTTTTAAAATTAAATAATGTTGGTTAATTATTACCATATACCATCCAAAATTAAAATAGAAAAGGTTGACGTATTAGTGAGTGATCCTTTTTAACAATTACTTAACAATGCAGAAGAAAAGTAGTGTAAAAAATTAAAATTAAAATAAAATTATTTTAATTGATTAAATATTAATTAAAACAAAAAGGTTTAATTGAGTTTTTAATCCCTCAAATATATTAATAGTGTGATTTTAGTTTTTTAAATTTTAATTGAGCAATTTTAATATCCAAATATTATAATTGTGTAATTTTAGTTCCTCAATTTTAATCAAGTAATTTTAGTCCCTCAATTACTACAATTGTATGATTTTAATTATCAAATATTACAATTATTCAAATATTTTACCTACTTAAGTTATATATTAGTAATTTAGCAATAATAAATATATATCACTTAATATATGAATAAAAATTATAATATATGTAACTTAAATAACTTTTTTATCAATGTTTATTGGTCTAATTGATTCTGTGTTTAGTTCTCAGACTTCAAGACCTCAAGTTCAAGTTTTGAATTTAATTAAAGATGATTCTAAAAAAGATAATTTTTTCACCTAAAAAAAAAAATAATTTTAATACAATCAAAGTCTCAAATGACCAATAAAATCTGACCAATCATGAAAAAAACATAACGTAATATGTCATAAAAAAAATATTATTCCTTACTTAAAAACCAACATAATTAAGTGATATCATAAAGTGTAACTTAGTCACATATAATAATTTTTGTTTAATTTTGGACCATATATTAAAGGTAGACCAACATAATTTTAAAAATTAGGAGACTTTGTGATAAATAAAAAAAATTGGAAGACGAAAATTATATATTTATAAGGACAAAAGTGGATTCAACCTTTATAAAATCCTTAAAAAAATTCATAAAACTAGATGATTAAACCTAAAAACTAATTTTCTTGGACAGTTGTACCCTTTTGACAACTTCCACGAATGTGCTAAGCAAGTGCAGTCCAAAGTAAACCGTGTTTCTGACCGAGTGTTGCTTAGTTGTCTTCAATGAATCTATCCATGCCCTCTCCTTCTTGGAAAAACCCACCCACATTCCTCTCTCTTTTCCCCTTCATCTTTATATAACAATCATGTTCCCTTCATCACACTCACTAACCCATCAATTCTCTTACTCTCTCTCACGCAATACAAAAAACACCATGGCTGCACAAAACTCCCAAACCCACTTCCAAGATTTCTTGCCTGTCATGGCCAACAAGCTTGGTGGGGATGGCCTGATTGATGAACTATGCAACGGCTTCAATTTGTTGAAGGATTCGGATAAAGGGGTCATCACCTTTGACAGCCTCAAGAGGAATTCGGCGTTGCTCGGCTTAGATGGCCTCAGTGATGAGGATCTTCGCTCCATGGTTGTGGAAGGTGACTTTGACGGTGATGGGGCACTCAATCAGTTGGAGTTCTGCATTTTGATGTTCAGACTCAGCCCTGGACTCATGGAGGGCTGCAGGATGTGGCTGGAGCAAGTCCTTCAACAAGAAATGAAAGATTTTTTCTAATTTTCTTTGTTTTTACCACCCCCTTTTTATTCATTTATCATTTTGGGCAATTTCCCATATACTTGTGTAAGGAAATTAAAGAAAAATATTAAATGAAATGGCAGAAGTGCTTCATTAGATACTTCCTCCCTTCGTATTCTCGAGTTTAGTTCAATTATTTTGCACAAATTCTTGACCATTTTTTTTATTTCATTTTTTTTCCATTGGTTGTAATTTTGAAAAATTGATGATTGGATGCACTTCTTATTCCAGCCTTGAACAAACTTTTTGCTGAATTGGTTGTGATTTAGTCCAAATCGTCGGCTACCTAAAATAGGGTTCAACTCAATTGGCTTAGACTAGCTAATAAAGTGGAGAAGACTTGGGAGTTAACCGAAGAACCAAAATGCAAGTGTTATTTTTCCACTCATCATAACTCAATATTCGTCTTTAGGTGAAATGTTGTTTTCGTAAATTGTCGTTTAGAGGACTGATAAGCTCGTGTGTGGACTCTGGCCTCTCAAATAAGCCCTTGGTTGACCTACTGTTTGAGGACTTAGTCCTGGCATAGTGATTTGAATTTTTGATGCATTAGGGACTGGAAATTGCATATATTCATTTACTTGATATTTGCCTTTCTTGAAGGAAATTGGATAGTCCAGGCATGTAAGGCTAATGATAAGGACTACTTAGTGAATCAAACCTCAAGCAGGGTGAATTTGAATTAACTAACAAGGGAGTGACTCACTGAGATGCAAACTGTAAATGACCATATTTCTAAATTCTAGAACTAAAGTCATTGTCATCCTTAATGGCCTGTTCTTTTCAGTTGCAAAAAGTGTCAACTTAGTGTGACATGGATTTTGATATTCATCATGGGTTTGTGAGACTACAAGGTTACCCACATTCAAGGTTTTAAGGAACGTCCGTGACCGCAATATTGATGTTTTGGAGCATTCATAACTGCTATTGCAGCAACAATTATCCATAATTTTTTATAGTGTCAAGGACTGCGACAAAATTGTTATGGCAACTTAAAACCTCAGACACTTACCATTGACAGGAGATGAGGACCAGCAAAAAAAGATACTCTTATATACGTGTCTATAACAGGTCAATGCCTGTACACAATATATTGACACTAACTTCTAAGGAGGAAACGTTATTGTCACGCAAGATATTGTGGAAATTTTGAGCAGTTGTTATAGGCAGGTTTCACGTTCTCAGTAAAAACAAATGGCTACACCTTGAGAGTTGTCACACATGCACCCAAAGTCCAAAACACTGTAACCGTGAGCTCCATGGTGTAACTCTCATTCTCCTCTTCATTTCTCAGGCAGAAAAAAGCACAGTGCTTCAGGACTGTCAAGCGATGAAAAATCTTCTTCTCATGTTCATCCTTACTAAGATTCTGTTGTTCTTTGGCCACAAGTCCATGGCAGATGACTCCATATCCCGATTTCAATCACTTTCTGAAGGCAAGACCTTGGTTTCTGAAGAGGGTACTTTTGAATTGGGTTTCTTCAGTCCAGGAAGTGGTGCAGAACGTTACTTGGGAATATGGTACAAGTCAATACCAGTGAAGACAGTTGTGTGGGTTGCCAACAGAGCCAACCCAGTAAAAGGCAACTCTAGCATGTTGCATATAAACAGTGAGGGGAATCTTGAGCTTGTTAACCTTAATGGGGTTGTGGCTTGGTCAGCAAACTCTAGAAAGAAGGTTTTGAATCCCATTGTTCAGCTCTTAAATTCTGGAAATTTGGTAGTGAGAGATGAGGGGGACCAAGATGCTGAAAACTACTTGTGGCAAAGCTTTGATTACCCCTCTGATACACTATTACCAGGAATGAAGCTGGGTTGGGACTTGAGAACTGGCCTTGAGTGGCGTGTATCAGCTTGGAAAAACTGGGACGATCCATCACCTGGTGATTTCACTTGGGGCGTCTCTCTTGAAGGTTTTCCTCAATTGATGATGTGGGAGGGGTCAAAGGAGTTTTACCGCGGTGGTTATTGGAATGGTCTTGGATTCAGTGGCGCCCCAGAGTTGAAGCCAAATCCAGTTTTTGAGTTCAAGTTTGTTTCCAACAAGGATGAGGTGTACTACACATACAGTCTCAGGAATAAGTCAATTATTTCCAGGATTGTTATGAACGAAACCATTTCTACTCGCCAAAGGTACATATGGATTGAAGAGGCTCAAGCCTGGAGACTTTATGCTTCTGTACCTAGAGATATCTGTGATTCCTACAATCTTTGTGGATCAAATGGGAATTGCATTATTGGTGATTCTCCAGTGTGCCAGTGTTTAAGTGGGTTTAAACCAAGATCACCGGGGAACTGGAACATGATGGACTGGACTCAAGGATGTTTTCTAACTGAAGAATGGAGCTGTAAGGAAAAGAGGAATGATAGGTTTGTCAAATTTAGTGGGCTGAAAGATCCAGATATTTCACATTCTAGGGTCAATGAGAGTATGAGTCTCAATGAATGCAGGGATAGATGCTTGGAGAATTGCTCCTGTAAAGCTTATGCAAATTCAGATGTTAGAGGAGGAGGGAGTGGTTGTTTGATGTGGTTTGGTGATCTAATGGATATCAGAGAGGTTTCTGGTGGTGGTCGGGATCTATATATTAGAACTAAAATTTCAGAATCAGGTAAGGTCTTGATTTGGTCTCTCTCAAGTCATTGATAATGAATTGACTCATTCAAGATGGAAATTGATTTAGTATACTGTATTTGCTCTGCTTTTGTCACATTTTTCTAGGGCCTTTTTTTTAGAAACTTCTGTATAAGTACTTGGAGAGAAAAAATAAGAAAGGTAAGATGAATTGCACTTCTCTACTTAAGAAATTTTCTCATCTAACTTTTTCAAAAGCTGATGTGCATAAGTTGATTTTATTTTTTACTTACCAGAAAAGTTAAATCAATTTTACCTTCTTCTTTTTTTTTTTTTTTTTTTTCCTGTGAGCGGTTATGAAAAAGTTCTTCCAATCAGGGCCTAAGTTTTCAATGATTCATGACTGAGTCTTCTCCCTCATTTCTGTATAAATCATGAAGCTGTGAAAGTAAAACATAGCATGAAGGCAGTAGCAATAATCATCATCGTTGCCTCAGTTCTTACAATCATTCTGGCTTTGTACGTTGTTGGCAAGAGAATCAAAAAGTTGAGAGGTAGCTTTCTTACTCTTGTATTCATTTAAAGGGCTTTCCAGTGATATATACAGAATAAAGAATATCAATTTTTTAATGTGTTTAGTGAATGTACTTCAAATTTTATATATTATTGTTATTATTATTTAGTGGCTGGGGTGTTAAAGCCATTACATGACATGTTCCCCTAACATAATGTAATTTGTTCTTGTGGTTTGTTGTGTCACTCATGGGCACAGCAAGAAGAATATATTCTCAATTCTATCAATGGACTAAAACCTCAAATGGCTGTGCTTTCTTTTAAAGAAAAAATTCAATGTAATGTGCTGCTGATGTAGTTTAATGACATGCTTCTTTCCAGCTTATGAAACAGAGAACAAGTTGACGGTAGAGAGAAATGAAGAAGACAAGAAAGAAGACCTTGAGCTTCCTTTCTTTCACCGTGATGAAATTATCAAAGCAACTGATGGCTTCTCAATTAACAATAAGCTTGGAGAAGGTGGATTTGGGGCTGTATACATGGTAATTATGCAACATACTGCACTGATGAACACAAAAACTTAGAGCTCATCTTTAATAATATTTATATGTTGCATATTTGATAAATTGTAGGGTACCCTAGCAGATGGACAAGAAATTGCTGTTAAGAGGCTCTCACAAAGTTCTGGACAAGGGTTTAATGAGTTTAAGAATGAAGTCATATTGATTGCCAAACTTCAGCATCGAAATCTAGTTAAGCTTGTTGGATGTTGCATTGAAGGAGAGGAGAAGATGCTTATCTATGAATACATGCCCAACAAAAGCCTAGACTCCATTATCTTTGGTTCTGATTTCTTTATATCTTTTGCAATTTAATTTTCCTTTTAGAATTTTCCTTCTCCGTTTTCTGTCATTTTACTACTTCAATTAATGAGTTAGCAATCCTGTTAATTCTGGCAGATCATGCAAAAGGAAAAATTTTAGATTGGTCTAAGCGCTTCAACATTATTGGTGGAATTGCACGAGGACTTCTATATCTTCATCAAGATTCTAGGTTGAGAATAATACATAGAGACCTTAAAGCCAGTAATGTTCTACTTGACCACGAGTTCAACCCAAAAATATCAGATTTTGGCATGGCCAAAACTTTTGGAGGAGATGAGATTGAAGGAAACACAAGAAGGGTAGTTGGAACATAGTAAGTTAATATTATCACAACATAGTTTGTAATCTGCACTGCATCTATAACCACTTTGAGATTATCTAAAGTCTAAACCTTACTTTCAATGATTTTTTCAGTGGTTACATGGCACCTGAATATGCCATTTATGGACTATTCTCAGTAAAATCTGATGTCTTCAGCTTCGGTGTATTAATGCTGGAGATAATAAGTGGAAAGAAAAACAGAGGATTTTCCCATTCAAATAACAGTATAAACCTTATTGATCATGTAAGTGAAAACTGAGAAGGACTTGTTTCTTTTTCCTTGTTGCAAGTAACAAACCTTGGCAATGACATGTCTTTTGTGCATTTTAGGCATGGAGATTTTGGAAAGAAAACAGACCTTTGGACTTGATTGATTCATGCATGGAGAATTCATCTGTTCTATCAGAAGCATTGCGTTGTATCCATATCGGTCTTCTGTGTGTCCAACAGCATCCTGAGGATAGGCCAAGTATGTCAACTGTGGTAGTGATGTTGAGCAGTGAGAGTGCCTTGCCTCAACCTAAGGAACCTGCTTTTCTTATGGAGAAGGGGAAGTTCTTTCTTGAAGCAGATTCCTCTACCAAGCACCAGTTTTCTTCCACCAATGATATAAGTGTTACCTTGTTAGAGCCTCGGTAATATAGTAAGTCTCTGATAAACTTCTTCAAACTAGGAGAAATATATGTAAAAAAAAAAAAAAAAATTAAATCAATTTTTTCTTAAATTAAAATCAACTTATGACATAAACTAATTTATAAAAATTCTTGATTATTAACTTTTTTGAAATTTTTTTAATTCATATATAAACTAATTTTAATTTATGAATAATTTTAAAAAAAATTCTTTTTTATTTTTTTCTTCTAAAATTACTTACGAAGTAATTTATCCAAACAAATATAGTATTTGATGGCCTAATTTTGTTAATGTGTCACCTCGGATTGTAACCCGACAACAAATTTGGAACTCAAAATTTAGAGGAAAATATGAAGTATGTGGTGGAAGCAGAGGGATCTGGAAGAATTAAGAAACTAATACTGTGAATTTTGATCACATTTTCTTTTGCTTTATGCAATTTTCATTTTCTGTTTATTATGGACGTTTTGCATACAACTTTAGCACTTGTTGTACTTAATGGGTCCGTTTAAACTTATTGAGCCTTGATCCAAATGGGCCAGGCCTAAAGGCCCATAACTACATATGTAAATAGTTAAGCCATTGATAGTTATAAGGCCTCTCAGTAATAAATATACAATATACTTTTTTTTTTCTAATTATTTTTCTTTAAGTATTTTTCTAATTTAGTTCTAATCTTGTCAAGGCTCTTTAGAAATCATTTTTTTTTCACTCACCCCCTTCATCCATCACTTACCTCCCTTCCCCATTTACCCTCTCCCCCCTCCTTCCCAGCTCCCACACACCACTTTGAAGTTTGAACCTTCTCACTAACATGCTATTTCATGTCATACACATAAAAATTAAATTGTAACAAAAAAAAAACTAATGAAAATTACTTTCCACAAAAGTCAATGGTTGAAATGGTTCAATCTATTATCCATGATGATGATGATGATTAGTAATGTATTTAATGATTTGAAACATTGTTTTAAAATTCGGATCTCCAATTAGCTTGGTCAAGATAGTGAGTCAATGGGTCAGTGAGAAATCACTAATTCAATTGTATAAATTAATATATAATTTTAAATGAATTATATACTATTAAAATTATTTAAATAACTTATATATCAAACAAACATATTGTTAAGTCTTAAGCATCCAAGGATATGTGCTCGAACCTCACCTGGGACCAAAACTCTTTCATTTTTTTTTTAATATTTTTTATTGTACCTAAATTAATAATAATAATAATAATGTTGACATAAACAGAAAAGTAATTATTAAATGTCAATCTTTTGAGAAAACTTTAAGAGAATATCAGAATGGTTTCTGATTCAAAAACAAATCACTATACATACACAACAATCAGAATCATAGTTGTGAGAAGGTCCTTATCATAATGAGCATGTAATGTAACAATATCTCTCCCTAACAAGAAATATTTTCTTACTTCTTTTTAGTTACAAAGATAGGATCGGGTATCCATATGAAGAAGTGGCCGGTTCGCTCTTTTATAAAGAGTGATGGAACAAAGAGTGTGTGTTTTCTCAACTAAGGTTATCAAGCACGAATATCTCTCTATTTTACCGGCTTCATACTTTCAAAAAGCCACCTTCGGGTCCTTTTGTAGACAAGGAGGAAATGGTCGATAGAAGTGGGACTCATGGCTTATTATCTCTTTTCCTAAAAGTAGACTTTGAAAAATACTAGTTGTACATGACTTGCATCTTAGAGCATCAGTAGTAGGGATTGCTTATAAGCAACTCTCAGTGTCACATCATGTCACATCAACTCTTTTTTACTTTATGGGTTGCTTAAATTTTAGCAAAGTTGCTTCCAATGCTAAAATTTAAGCAGCCCATAAAGTGGAAAAGAGCTGATGTGGCATGATGTGGCAGAGGGGGTTGCTTATAAGCAACCCCCATTGGAGATGCTCTTATAGGAATTTGTTTTGAACTTGTCATTCTCGTGTACTAATCTGATGAGCTTCTGAATGTGTGTCAAGATGTATTTTGATGTTGTTGAAGAACAACATATTATGATATAAGTTCCTTGTGAAAGCTTCATGGTATACATCGAGAAAGATGCCAAATAATAATAATTAAGCGAAAAAAGAAATGGATATATTTTTTTTTTGTATAAATATCAATAGGCTTTGAAAGCAACAAAATAATTTAAATAGAATTCATAAAACAGAAAAATAGAAATCAAACATCAAATTTTAACGTGGAAAAATCACATCTAATGTTAATATATTGGTGATCCACTTGACAATATAGTAATGTAAGAGACTCATGTTTATCATGTTGAACATTTCTTTTCTTCAAAGGACACACCAACCTTTTAATTCGTATAGTTTAAAATATCTATATATATATATATATATATATTTTAATTATTTTTAGTTTATATAATTTAAAATAAATCTTTTTAGTGTTATCATTATTATTATTTTAATATTATATGTTTTGTGTTAATGTGGTAAATGTCTTTAATTTTGCGAGAGTAAAAATATTGTATAAATAATAGATGTCATAGATAAGGGTATAAAAGAGACACGAAAAATTTAAAAACCTTAATTCTGTCCGATCAGCACGAAAAAACATTACAAAAAATTAACGATAAAAATTAGAAAGATTTAAAAATTACATATATAAAGACTAAAAAGATTTATTTTAAATTATAGGGACCAAAAATAATTGAAAAATATAAGTATATAGACTAAAAAAGTCTAATTTAAATTAAATGAAAAAAAGTAAACTAAATAAAATTATAGGAAATCAAAAAATATTTTATATATATATATATATGTATATATATAATGACATGGTATTTTATTGCTTAACGACGGTATATCACTAGAACAGAATCCAATTCTTCATGCTGAAAAAAATTGCTGATTTTAATTATAGGTGCAAGGATTAGAGAACAAATTGGTCCAAAATGGGCAATTGTCATTGATGCATCTTTTATCCGTAGCAAACTAGCACGAAATAGACCTTCCTTGAGATTTTCTCTCATGATTCAGGAATGATCTATATTTCAGATTTTTGTGCTCTTGTGTGTGTATATCACAATCAGACAACAGATGTAATAGAAATTATATTTATATATAGAAATTTAGAAATTTGCTAGTATACCTAAGGGATTATATATATAAAATAATCTGAACGAAAACTAAAAGAAAAAAGAAAAACCTTTTAGTTAATTTGTTTTGATAGTTAAAAAAAAAAACTCTTGTCGAACAAAAGGAGAGGATGGATTTTATGTAAGCAAAGTACAAAAATATAAAACACGAGAGTATTTATGGGATTTGCTAGAAAAACACTAGAATGTTTCAACGCAGTGTTGGGTATGGAGATTTTTAATTGTTCTGTCATGACTCATGAAACACTCCACTCAAGTCTAGACACACTCGACTGTTTAATGGCACATGCATATCCTATATTGAATAGTTATTATTAATTTCAACGTGTTGCTGTTATCTGCCTTAAATGGTGGTGTAAGAAGGGGCAAAACGTGAAGCACAAAATATATCATATCATGTTTTTCGTATATGAAAGAGACTCCAAGTTATTAAATCTTATACAAAACGGATTTGTAATGCAAGAATTACACCCTTATTTATATATATATTATTTGAAGTTTATAAGATTGAATATTTATAAATAGTGCGATGGTAAATAAGTTAATAAATTCAACAAAATAACTTTGATATCATTTTAGAATATAAATTTAGAATTTAACTCAATATAAAAAAAATAAATTATAAAATAAGAATTACTTTTAATTTATATACACTTTGTTGAATTTATCGTTGATTGATATAAATTTTTTAACATTAAATATAAGAGACTTAAAATTTTAAGATGTGTGAGTGTTTTGGGAGACCAAAGGAATAATGTAGATAGTAGTCAACATCCAATAAAACTCTTATATTTGTAGTTTGGATTTCTATGATTAGTTTTTCTTTCAGAAGTTATTAGTAGTGCTGATAAACTTGTTTGATTTGATATTTTGATACTTACTTTCTTCACATACTTTGATCAATTTTGAATGCTAAATTAATTTCGCCCGATTTCCTTTGCAACATGTAACTGGTGTGCCTTGTGTACGAGGGAATTGATGATTGTTTAAATACGAGTGCATGCATGGGACCTATATTCAGAGTTAGAGAATTATCGTATTATCGTGCCAAAAATTACGTTACTGTGTGCCAAAATAAACTTCCCATGCTTGTTTGCATTAGTTTTAGCATATGTTATCAATTTCTTTCAGAAACAAGCAAATAATATTTTGGAACAATTAATAGATTTCTTACACCCCTATATTGAATGATGACTTGATTATTTATTGATTGATAAGATATACAAAACATGAGTGTCTTAAAATTTATCATCTAATAATTTATATTAAAATCAACTTTTTAATATAATAAAAAATTAAGGTGGACTCGGATCTAAAAACAAATTTATTATCAAAGTAGTAATATGTTCTTGTTACTCCTAAACTAAGTTAATAAGACGCAAAGTCATTCAAATAAACAATATATATAAAAAATAAAATAACACTTCATTTCAAACAATTTATCAAGTGGAGTATCACGTGGAGTAAGGTGCAAGAGTTATTGTAAATGTTTTGGTACTAAATCCTATTTTGATGAATTAAAAAATAACTTCATTAATATTTATCATTTCTATCCTGATTTTTTTATAATATAATATAATTTATGAAAAATTATATATATTAACAATGTAAAATAGTTTTATAGTGACTCTCAATTATAAATTAACTAAGGACAAAACTTAGATACAATTTTTTATGTGCAATTTTTAATTGATGTTATTTTCTTATTAGAATTAAAAATTTACTTCAATAATATACATAAATGTATATTAATGATATCTCTATTAAATGTTAGGACATAGTACAACTTCAATTCTAATTGGACTAAATTTTAATTTGTCCATTAACTATTATTTATGGTAAGTGAATTTGTTAATTTTTATAATAATTATTTTTTTTATTTATCAAAATTACAATATACCAAGCTACATGTTAAATGTTTACTATGTATAATAAAAAATTATATATATGAATATATTTAAAAATATAAATTATATTAAAATTTATATAAATAGATATTTTCAAACAAATAAATTATATTTTAAATTTATAATAAATAATTTATATTGTGACATAATATTATTTTTAATTATTAATAATTTAAAATTTAAAAATATTTAAAATTAGTTTATGAATTAATATGATAAATAAAAATTAAAATAGATAATAAGTTAAAAAAATTCTTGAAAATTCTCTCTTTAAATTAAAATACTTAAGAATACTATATTGTATAAGATAATGAATTGTGTTTATATTTAATATATTGAGGAAGATTATCTATACTAACAATGTCTTTTTATTGGTTAACCGTATGTAAATTAAGCTTTAAAAACCATTAAACTCGTTATGCATGCACTAATCTCTCTAAATATCTACTAGAAATTGATGTCTAAGCATCATTTTCCAAATGAAAACTACGTAAAATTAGTAAAATGACCAAAAATATCACCACACAATGAAAGACTCATGTACCATGTCAACATGCAATTTGAATGCCCTCCATTTTCATATATAATAACTCCTAGCTACTTAATTTGTGGCTAGCAATTGACATACGTAATATGACCATGTTTTCTATTACGTTTGCAATCATCAAACTTGTTTTCTTTTTATTCTCTTACTCTCACATTTCTAATGCTATCGATACCATCACCCAGCTTCATCCACTTGCAGATGATGGCTCAACCTTGGTTTCAATGGATGGAACCTTCGAGTTGGGTTTCTTCAGCCTAGGTCTTTCACCAAACCGCTATGTCGGAATATGGTACAAAAACATCCCAGTTAGAACCGTGGTTTGGGTTGCCAACCGTGACACCCCAATCCAATCCAACTCTAGCAAGTTGAGCATAAACAAAGATGGCAACCTTGTCCTTCTAAGCCACAACAACACCATTGTTTGGTCAACAAAAACGTCAACAAAGACCCTGAGTCCCATTGTGCAACTCTTAGGCACTGGCAACTTGGTACTGATGGGTTGTTTGTTTAGTACTTATATGAGAGAAATTTATTTATATGTTATGTCTTGTTATTTATCGGTTATTTCATACACATTTTCATATTTTTACACTCTTAGAATTTTGCTTTTAACTATCATTCAAAAGACTTCTAACTAATAGAGTATGTGTGTGCCATATAAACTCATATTTCTAGTCATGTTTTAATGATTTGAGACTTTATTTGTATCTCAACAGGTACTAAGAGATGAGAGTGACAGCAATCCTATGAACTACTTGTGGCAAAGCTTTGATCACCCTTCAGACACATTGTTGCCAGGAATGAAGCTTGGATGGAACCTAAAGAGTGGTTTTAGTACACGTGTGTCCGCATGGAAGAATTGGGATGACCCTTCAACCGGGGATTTCACTTGGCGTGTGGAACTTGAAGGGTACCCTCAAATGATGATGTGGAAAGGCACAGCAGAATACTACCGTGGTGGACCCTGGAATGGCCTTGGATTCAGTAGTGCCCCTGAACTTGAAATGGATCCACCTTATGTGGTTAACTTTGTGTCGAACAATGATGAGGTGTACTACACATACAACCTCAAGAACAAGTCGTCAATATCAAGGGTTGTTATGAACCAAACGGTTTATGCTCGGCAACGCTACATTTGGATTGAGGAGGCACAAAGTTGGAGGCTTTACACTTCTGTGCCTAGAGAACAGTGTGACTATTACAAGCATTGTGGCTCCTATGGGAAGTGTGACATGGATGAGTTCCCTACGTGCAAGTGCTTGCTCGGATTCAGGCCAAAGTCACCCCAGGAATGGGACACAATGGATTGGAGTAAGGGGTGTGTGCAAAGCCAATCTTGGAAATGCAGGGAGAAGAATAAAGATGGGTTTCTCAAGTTTAGTAGCTTGAAGTTGCCTGACACTAAGAGAACTTGGGTTAATGCAAGTATGAGGCTTGAGGAATGCAAGGCTAAGTGCTGGGGAAATTGTGCATGTAAGGCTTATGCAAACTTAGACATCCGAGGTGGAGGAAGTGGATGTGTCATTTGGTTTGGTGATCTGCTTGATTTGAAATATGTTCCAGATGTTGGGCAGGATTTGTATGTTAGATTGGCTATCACTGAAATAGGTACCAATACCAACTTTTATTTGATATAAGGACACGTTTGAATACAAACTTAAAAGAGTTTTTAAAAAGTTTTTTACCAAAAATAAAGGATTTTTTTTTTCTAATTGAAGAAGCTTTTAGAAATACTTCTGACTTACATTGTAACATACTCTTAAGCGGTTGTTAGAGGGCATGTCTATTTTTATCAGTACTATTATTAATTAGTTATTTAATTGATTTATTGACTGTTGCTCTTCTTTTCTTTGTCAAGCAAATCATGACCAAAAAGATGAATTCAGAGAAAGGAAGGCTGTCATCACAAGTACCATTCCATTGATCATAATGATAATTTTTTTAACTATAAGTTACTTTCACTGGAGGAGCAGAAGAAAAATTAGAGGTAAGGTTTATTTACTCATGTTCCCTTTCATTTCAATAATGTTTTCATTTTCATTGCCTTGAAATGTTGGTACCTTTGGTTTGCAAAAGTTATAGTTTCTTTTTACTGATAATTATATACACATTATTGTATTTCTTACTTTTAAAGGTTTATATAACATAATAAGAAAAATAAATATTCTTTTTAATATTTTCTCTACAAATTTTAAAAAATAAAAAATAAAGTGACATTGTTATGAACATTAATTTAAACAAAAGAAACAACTTAAAGCATGAAGTTCTCACATAGTAAGAGATTTGAACGTTTGACTTATAGGTAGCAAGTCAATAACCGTATCATCATGTCCAAACTCACTCTCTATACAAGTCTTTGTTCCAAATGTAATGGAAAAGTTAACATCTAATTCATGAATTTCAACTTATATAGTACAAAGGGGGCAGCATGATCTGCTGCATGAGATCTTATTGGAAAATTATGCTCATTTGTTTTATTTTGAGATAAAACAGAGTGCACCTCGACTAAAGAAAAGAATGATGATGGCCAAGAAGATTTGGAACTACCTTCCTTTGGCTTTGCTTTAATAGCTCGTGCCACTGATAACTTCTCAAATGATAAGAAACTTGGTGAAGGAGGTTTTGGACCTGTATACAGAGTAAGTGCATAACGTGCATGATAAAAATAATACAGGACAAAAGCCTTAGCACTCATTTTATCAATCATATCTTAATTATTTATACAAATGAATGTCGTTCTTTCAGGGCATGTTACCAAATGGACAAGAGATAGCTGTCAAGAGGCTCTCACAAAGATCTTGTCAAGGATTAAAAGAATTGAAGAATGAAGTTATATTCTGTGGCAAACTTCAACACCGAAATGTTGTTAAGGTCCTTGGTTGTTGCATTCATGGAGAGGAAAGATTGCTCATATATGAATTTATGCCCAAGAGAAGTTTGGATTCTTTTCTCTTTGGTTAGTGTCTTTTCAAAAACATAAAACAAAAACTAATACCTAACCAAATGGAAGAATTTCATTTGTTTTCATTACTCGTATATGGTAGATTAAAAATGTAACACAATTGATGAATTTGACAGATTCTAGCAAGGGTAAATTTCTAAATTGGTCTAGACGCTTTCAAATCATAAGTGGAATTGCTCGAGGAATTCTCTATCTTCATCAAGATTCAAGATTGAGAATTATACATAGAGATCTTAAATCAAGTAATATTTTATTAGATAATGAGTTAAACCCAAAGATATCAGATTTTGGCCTAGCTCAAATATGTGGTGATGGTGAAATTGAAGGGAACACGAGTAGAATAGTTGGAACTCAGTAAGTATTTTAAATATTTAATGATGATAAAGTTTTATAATTATGTAAGCACAATGATTAAATGACAAATTAAATCATTTTTTTTCAGTGGTTATATGGCTCCTGAATATGCCATCCATGGACTATTCTCGACCAAATCTGATGTATTTAGCTTTGGTATCTTATTATTGGAGATAGTAAGTGGAAAGAAAAATCAAGGAATTCTCTACCCATATCGCGATTTTAGTCTTATAGGACATGTAAGCTACATAATAACTAAAGGAAACTCAATTAAGTTTTTCCATATATTGAAATGATAATTAGTAATTGTTTTGGTTCGTTGTAGGCATGGAGATTGTGGAGGGAGGGCATACCAATGGAATTTATAGATGATTGCTTAAAGGAATCATGCACTGAATCAGAAGCCATACGTTGTATTCACATTGGTCTTTTATGTGTCCAACATTATCCCTATGATAGACCTGACATAACATCTGTGGTTATGATGTTGAGTAATAATGAGAATGCCCTGCCTTGTCCAAAGGAGCCTGGATTTTTATTAGAGAAGTTCTCAACTGAAAGAGTTTCTTCTTTTGGTCCACAATCTTCTTCAATCAACGAGACAAGTATCTCGATGCTTGAGCCTAGATGAGGAAATTATGTTACTTCTTACCCAAAAAGGACCTTTTTAATTGATACATACATGTCTTGTACGTCAAGTTGATGTGAAATATAAATAATTAGTTTACTTTATGTAAATCTTTACCATGTTTCAAATTGCCGGAAGCAATGCAGCCACAAAATTATGATTTTCGAAGTTCTGTTTTCCGAAGATTACTGTTTTCTGAGTTTCACCCTATTTTTTCTGTTATAAAATCTCAGAACACTCTTTCAGTGTTCTTTGAAAAGATTTCTTGTTGAGATGGACTTGCAACAAGTTTAACTCACTCCTGACTCCTCTGGTGTAAATATATCATGTTCCAACAGTTTTTAGCTTGTACCTTCAGGTATAGTTTGCTATATATCTGCACATGTATAAATCCCTCTCCCTTACCCTACTTACTGTTTGGCACCTGGGACTAGACAGCCACACATGGATGCACTCAAATCTATATTTTCCACCTGTAATACTAATATACCTTTGATGAATAAAACTACATTGGATTTTTAGTCTCGCTTTAGTTGAAAATTACTTGAAACAGATATATGCCCTGGTTATTTTTGCTTTTTTCAAAGCTTGTTATAAGTAATTTAATATTTCTTTTTCGTGTTGTGTGAAAAGCAGCCCTGAAGAGGAAAATAGCAGGCTGTTGAGATTTCCGTTAAAACCATTTTTGTTATCACTTTAAATTACTTTTGTTTTGTTAACGGTCTCAAACACGGCAAGTATACCGGCCGTTCAAGTAGTAAAAATATCGTATCCACAGGGATTAGAAGGTAATATAAGCATTTATTGACTATTCGTGACTAAAGAATAATTCCAATTTCATAGTTTGTCATGCGAATTCAAAGTTGTGACTATTATAATGAAAGCTATAAATAAATATTAGTTTGTGAGTGGAAAAGGATAGAAACGGTATAATGGTTTTGTGAGGTTGTGGGGGTCAGATTTCACCAAACGTTACACTAATGAATCCTTAATCTTTTGTTACATACATTGCTTAGTCAACCCATAAGTTTACTCAAACCTAATCCCTTAGAGAAAGAGCCTAGGTGCGGATATTGAATATCACAATCCCTTGAGTACCCAATACCTACACCCGCATTACCAATTAGGGTTTAAGACTACTAATAGGTCAAGCTCTATCCCTAGATACAATCTCCACTAGGCATATGTTTCAGAACTAGTTTCAATGGTATTTCCCAATACTCAATGGAACCTTAAATCATGCAAAGGGTGATCAATCCAAAGCAAGCATTAAGCGTAGAAACGTACACAACAAAGAATGAAACAATACATATATATATCATTAAAAACGTAAGGATTATAATAGAGTACGTTGGTTACATCTAACCCCACAAAAATGGGTGGAACCACTCAACAATGAGGGTAAATACAAAATAGAGATGAAAGGAGAAGTTAAGAACTGAAGGAAAGATCCACACACGAACGTTCCCAAGCTCTGAGAATTCCTTCTACAGCTCCAAGGAGGCGCCCCTGCGTGAATGAGGGAGAAAACCCTCGAAAATGACTTCAAATACGAGCTTGGGGAGATCAGATTAGGGTTCCACGCCCGGCGCATAAGTCTTCGCGCCCGGCGCAGGGTCTTTTGAGCACTCTCTGCCTCAGTGTAAGCCCGGCGCAATGTCTTCCAGAGAGTTCCAGGTACTCTCTGTCTCGATCGCGCCCGGCGGAGGTAGTCTCGCGCCCGGCGCAGGCGTGACTTTCAGAGGTGGAACACTCTGTTCTTATCAAGCCCAGCGCGGGTCATCTTGCGCCCGGCGCAGCCACTTTGCTTTGCTCCCTACTCCTTAGATTTCCAATCCTAAGGTCTTCCATCCTCAATTCACTAGCTCAATACCTGCACAAAAAATGAGGTGTATTAAGGTATTGTTAGCTAAATATGGTTAGCTATATCTGCACAAAAAGTGAATCAAAAAGGGGACAATTGTCTTGCAATGGTGCAAAGGATGAGTGGATTAGTTCACTAAGTCTCAACCAAAAAGAGGTATAATTGAGACTTAACAACTCCCCCAAACTTAGAACCTTGCTTGTCCTCAAGCAACAGGTAATCAATCTAGCAGATAACAGGCATTGCATGTGTGTCAAATTCTACATCCCAGTTCACTTGTATTTTCTTTTCGCAAGCATGAACCTAAGATGGATCTTCAGTCACAATTATTGCAATAGAACATGACAAAGGGCAAACAAAGGTTTCAAAAGAGATCAAAGAGCTGAGAAGAGTAATGACTATCTGTGTATGCATCCTCACTAGGAAAGTGTTTCTCTCTATGCACACTAGTGTATCAGGGTGAGTGTTTCTCTCTAGTCTACTACTCACGCCACATGATTCAACTTTGTTCTTCGTTTCCAAATGAAACCAATGGTACAACAAATGTCGGCACTTATCACAAGGTCTTTATTAGGGCAAATCTGGGTCAAGCAATAGCTATTTTATGGTTTTTCAAGGATTGAAGGTGCTATAGCTTAAGAGAGCAATTAAGATTTTACAATGATGTTCCTCTCCATACCCTAATACAACATTTTGGCACATGCCCTTTATTGGATCCAAGCCATTATTAGCCTTTATGTGATGCATATTTACACTTTTGCATCTAATTTTTTTTTTTTGAATTGTTTTGTTTTGTTTTTATTTTGTAATGGCTGACCACATACTTTCTTTTTCCCAAAATTTCCCATTCTTCAACTCCCCCAAACTTGTTTGATGTCATCAATTTGCTCTCTTAACCACAACACAGGTTATGGTTAATTTTTCATGGTTTGGGACAAGTGGAAGGTGTGGTGTTTAGGCTTAGGAAGGTATGAGTCAAGTAAAAAGTGGAAATAGATTTTTGGCTTAGAAGGTTAACAAAATAAGGAAAAATATGAATTCCTTGATCATATAAGTACACAACATAAGCAAACCACCAGGGAAACTCAAGCAAAGTCTATCATGCAACTTAAGCGTAGTTCACTCATTAGTATTTAGGCTCAAACCTCACCCGACTATACATCCACAAACTATCAAACTCAGCTCAGTTCTATGATCAACATTGAAACCCGTATGCAACTAGTCATGAACTAAAGATCTAACGTGACTTGAAAATGTCTAAGGTACATGCACCACAAACATCAAGCAAACCACAATCTAGAATCGACCACAAGCAACACAAGTATCAACAAGATTCAAAACCGTGCTAAAGCAGAATATTCACAAAAAAATTGAACCAACCAGAGTAATCACCAAAAAGATACTGAATATAATAATAATAAAGTTTTGGGACAAAAAAACAGTTAAACACTACAAATGAAAGATAGAAAATTAAACTGCAACAAAATAATAAAAGTAGGCTAAGGCATTTGGTCATCATCCGCAACTGGTGCTCCATCCTCCTCGGCATCATCAGCATCAGTAACAGCTCCACCCCCCCAAAGTGAGGAGCCTGGTCCCCAGGCCACCTAGTGTAAGCATGA